TTTGAAGCGTCATCCTTAAAAGTAACATGTAGCAGTGACTTGCTTGACAGAATTTTTCCCCACTGATGCTGGCCTGCCTACGGATCACCAACTAATGTCCAATATTTTAGAGCAGCAACTAAAGAATAGTGCTACCTGGAGGTAAAGAAAGAGAAAATTTCATTCCTTGGGCAATAGATTAGATTAAGAATTAGCAACTGTGGTTCTTAAGAAAATTCTTATATTGCCAAGAAGTAGAAATATAACAATAATTACAGAAGCAGCCAAAAAATAAGTATACTAGTATCATTCTCCTTTTGCAAGAGTATACTGTATAAAATTTCATTTTAAATATATGAGTTTAGTTATTTATATGAAGGAGACGAAAAGTTGACTAGAATGAATGATGATTCTACTTAAATATTAAAAATCAATACAGACCTTGCATCAGTGATTAAAAGGTGCTGTGAATTAGAAGGATGTTTTCTCAAATTTTGACTCTGATGTCAAAGGAAAAAAGAATCATAAGTATGATTTGTTTTAATGAAGAAAGGCCAGTGTTACAATGAAATAGTAAACAGGATAGGAGAGGTAGAGGATATGGCTTTCAGGGAGGGAGGAGGTTATTCCATATCTTTAGTCATGTCAATCAGAATTTTATTTCTGATCTACTTGAGTTTTTAAATGTGGGAAAATATCACGGACCTCAGCTAGATTGAAAACACTCTGGCTACTTGTGAAAACTATGCTTACATGAGGAGATGGAAGCAAAAGCGAAATAGCTTAAGGAGAGTTTGCTGCCCCTGGTGAGGATTGGTGATGGTTGGGATCAGGGCTGTAGGCTAGGGAGAAGTGAGTAAAGTGATCTGCCATAGACCAGACTAAAGCCGTTCAGTATAACCTTCAATATTTTCCCATAAAGTCCAAACCTTGAGAGACAGCCTCAGCACTTCAGACTGGTGTTCCCGCAGTGGTCACTAACTTTCTGAACATTGCCTTTTACAGTGTTACTTTCTGCTCCTTCTTTATGCTGTTTACATGCTACTTTTAGCTTAGGAACACTCCTCTTTTCTGACTGTATCTCTCAGATTCGCAGAATTCAATTCTGAGAATTCTGCTTAAATGTCTTCAACCAAGGAGCACTTTTAATTTCTGATTCCTAGTACTTCCATTGTTTGTAGTGATTTCTTTGTACTTGTTTTCCTATTAACACTGTTTTCAATTCTGGTGGAATGTATTACTTGTGTGATTTTACTGACTAGTGTATATAATTAGCAAGGATAGAACTCTATGTATCACAATCTAACTGAGACCTTAAATGCAGGTGTTTATAATGCATGATTTTGATTACTCAATGAAAAAATAGTGCCAAAGCATATTGCCTTTCTTCCTTCTTTCTTTTTCCTTCCCTTTCTTTCCTCTTTTTCATTTCTCTTCCTTTTCTTTCTTCCTTTCTTTCTTTCTTTTGTTTACCTACATGTCTCTTTTGGGCTTTTCTATCAAGTAAATTTGTTAAAGTGTAAAATATATTCGATTCTGTGATGCTTGATATAAAATAAATATTTATATGGTTGAGTAAATAGTGTATTATTTATTCTCATTTATTACTTTATCATCAAGAATAATAGTTATTACCAAAACTATACACATCATAGAAGATACAAAGACTTCCACTCCATGGATATCACTTTGTGGTTCATGACACACAACTTTTCCACAACCACAAGCAATCCTGTTCAAATATACATGAAATATTGCACTGACGGAATGATCAAATAAATCTTTGTAAGAACATAATCTGATGATTATGTTTCTTATATCATATTCAAAGTTTAGAAATATGGTTTGATATGTTTAATTAATTCTCTACATTTTGTTTAGATAAGACAAATTTTGTGGCACTTACCAAAACTTAAAGGATGGTTGCAGTTGTCAGTCTATTGCAAATTTGCAATTACATTATATCAGTTCATTCATCAACATACATCACAGTTTTACAAGAACATAGAAACAGAATGAAATGATAAATGCTATAATAAATATGAGCACTACTTCAATGCAGACTCTCAATGTAAACTTATTTGATATGCAAATCTCAGATGCTCTCTATTGTTTTTCCAATTTGTTTGTATTACCATTGTTTTTTTTAATAATGCTAAGTTCTGTAATGTCTATGTTTCATGTATGCTGTCTTTCTTTCCATTCTCCTTAACAATTTTAATAGTTATTTTCGAAATCTTTTAAATAATTCTAAATTGTCACTCGTCTCTATTATTTGTTTTATTGGCTATTCACTCTTGATCCATAGGTAACTTGCTTCTTTGAATTCCTTTTTTTTTTTTTTTTATTTCGCATCTTATGGGTACAGATTTTGGGTTTCATAAATGTCATTTCCCCCTCCCGAAAGTTGAGTCTCCATCATGACCATCCCACTGATGGTGCAATTCTCACTCATTTTGTATGTATGTACGCCCCTCCACCCTCCAACCTGCCATACCTATTACTGTGACCTGTGTGTCCACTTAAGTGCTGTTCAGTTTGAATACCAGTGTTGCTGGAGAATATATCTGGTGCTTGTTTTTCATTCTTGGATACTTACTTAGTAGTATGGTTCAGCTTAACCGGAAAGATATAAGATTGCTATGTCACATTGTTTCTTAGAGCTGAATAGTACTCATGGTTACATATACCACATTTATGTATTTCTTCTTGGATTGATGGACCTTGGCTGTTTCCACAGCCTTGCAATTTGAATTTGCTGCTATAAACATGTCGGATGCAGTGTTTTTGTAGAGTGTCATTGGGATCTTTTTGGTAGGATGCTCAGCAATGGGATTTGCTGATCAAATGGTAGATTCATTGTATCGCTTTAGATATCTCCATATTCTTTCCAAGATGGTTGAACTGTTTGCATCCACCAGCAGTGTAGTGGTGTTCCTCTCTTCCGCAACAACGCCAGCTTTATTGTTTGGAATTTTTGATAAAGCCATTCTACTGGGGTTAACGTGATTCTCATTGTCGGTTTTGATTTGCATTTCCCTGATGGATTAGAGATGTTGAGCATTCGTTCATATGTTTGTTGGATTCTTCTGTCTTCTTTAGAAAATTTCTGTTCAAGTCCTTGCATTTTTAATGGGTTTATTTTTTTCTTCCTGTTTCGTGATCCTAAGTATATTCTAGTATCAGTCCTTTCGTGCATAGGATGCAAATTTTCTCCCATTTGTAGGTTGCTTTATTTCACTGACTATTCTTGGCTGTGCAGAAGCTTTGTTAGTGGTCATGTCCATTTATTTATTTTGTTGCTGCTGTGATGCCTTGGGGGACTTCTTCATAAATCTTTGCCAGGCCGATGTCTAGGAGAGGTCCAAAATCTC